ACATCTTTGACATCTTGTGACTCTTTCTCCCAAGACTTTTTTGCGATCTTAGAAAATGGCCCCATACGTGGTAGCTTCATGTTCTTATTACGATATTCTTTAGTCAAAGCTATTCTATAAATGATAAAAGCGTTTGGAAATGTTTTTGCTCTACTTTTGTTAAATGTGTTAGATTTATTAACATATTTAATAATATCATTTGCTGTTAAGTGTGAGGGAAAGTTGGTTTGATTTCGATGAAAGACTATTAGAGTTTTGTTACTAATACTTGTTCCTACGTGGTATTGCTTTCGTCAATATTTGAGTTAATATTAAGCGAAGTTACAAGTTTATTATTTTTTTTTCTTTATAGCTTTAGGCATAGCTATTATTATTATTAAAAAAAAAATACAAAAGTATAAAATATGGTATAAAGAGTATTTTAAATATCTCTTTTTATCTTCTATTCTTTTTTAAAATCATACTATTTATAATTATTTTCATTTATACTGTATAATAAATTTTCTAAAGATTACAATAAAATGTTTGTAACCTAAACCGCAGCAAAAAAAATTATTGGTAATACATACAAGGTTTAGCTAATATTCTAGGAGCAATACAATGTTATTAGCTAATATTACAAAGTTTATGAATCCAAGACTGAATATCGGGTATCTACGAAGAGAACTAAAAAATCTAAATATCTTATATTTAATTTCAACATATTTAGTTGTAAAAGGGATCATGTTGAACTTTAAAAGACCCAATATTTTTATTAAGCAACTAGGGTTGCGCTATGTCGTTACGCCACCAGAGTATTCGACATTACATTTATGCATTATTTTTGGACATTATTATCATCCGTTGTAGCTGGTTGTTAGCAATTTATTTTTATTGCAATATAAACAATGTTTGCTTTCTTGATCTATTATATTCAATTTATTTTGTTAGAACGCGAATCGAATTTTTTTTTTTTTTTATAATCATTGCAAGACAAATTTCTTTTTTATTTTATTATTTAACTGCATAAATTATGACATATTTCTTACATCCGAAGATGGAATATTCATTATCAAATTGGTAAAGGGGTAGTGGCGAGCGCTTCAAGACGATCATATTCGATTATTACATCTCGGTCAACCATGAACGCGGCTTCATCTAGTGCCATAATTTGAATGTGGTCCCAGCTTGGACACCTGCTTAAAGCGGTGTATGCCTGACCGGCAGAGAAAATCCTACTAACAAAATTGAGATTTTTTGATTCATATTATTATATGATATATGAACTTTATTTATTAAAATTTTATAATCGATTATCATATTTACAAAGCAAGCAATTAGACTGTTAAAATTTCTCATTTTTTTGTGTAATATAGTTGAAAATCTAAAATTAGAATTTAAAGATGATCAACATTAAATTTGGAAATAATCTATTAATTAAAAAAGTTAAAAAAGTTTTGGATCCTTATAAATCATTATTTGAATAAATAGGAGTCTAGAAGGTATTTAATATCACAGCAAATATATTTTTTTTAAAAAAATAATAAATATAAAAACAAGCTTTTTTCACTTGAATATATGTAAAGATGAGTTATGATATATTGTAAGCTTTTGGATATTTATATAATGAGTTTATTATTGCATTTAAGTTAGTTGATTCAGAGATTTTTTGGTTTACATTGATTTTGATTTTTCAGAGAATTGTCTAAATCTCAATTTTTAAAGAAGGTTGTAAAAGTCTGAATCATTTTTTTGTTATTTTAGTTGTGATAAGAAGAGAGAAAAAAAAAGTTTTTAGATTGATAAGTAAATTATTTGTTATCAGTTAACAGAGATAGTTAGGTAAGATCACCTATTATAAGAATTGGAATTTCTCTAAATGGTTTTTGATTTTGTATAATAAACTGAATATATTACTTATATAAGTTAACAGTTTACCAAATATCATAGAGATTTTTAAATTATTATTATTTTTATTTTTAGCAGCTCTATTTTGGATTTTTATCATCTAATATTAATGTTTGATAATAATCATTATATTATCTAGTTTTGAAAGCAAAATGGATGGTTTTGCTATATATATTTTAGACAGATATTCTAGTTAAGAATAATAATATATATTTAATTTTTTTTTAATTTATTAAAAAAAAATAAAGGTTAGAAAAGAATTTATTTTAATTTAATTAGAATATTTATTTTAATAAATATATATTCACATTAAGTTCAAAATTTTCTAGGATGAATTTACTAATATTTAGTATAATTTTATTTTACTCAATTTGATTAATCATATGATTGTTAGCGAAATTAAATGCTTTATAATTATAGCTTACAAATTCATATATATTATTCTGTATATAATAATTTCTAATAATATTATATTGCTGACTGTTATAATAAGAAAAAAAGTGGCAAATATAAATGTCAATTTTTTTTTTTTTATAACTTATAAATAATTAATTAAAAGAATACTTTTTTTGTTTATTTTCTTATTTTTTCCAAAGGTTACACTTGTTGGTACCTTAGTAGATTGGCTACACCTTCAAGAAAAGGTCGCAAAACTTCGTGGGTTA